GTGCGTTGATCAGCTGTTTTTTCTCGATTGTGCTAGTAAACAAAAAGTTTTGGGCAAGTGGAAATATTGTTTGGGCAAGTAAATTGAAAACCCACTTGCCCGACAGGGCAAGTGGTGAAAAAAATTCTTGTAGCACCCTGCCTTCAGTAATGTTTGATATTTTAATGAAATTTGATATGAAGGTACATGAAATCAAAATACAGGCTAAGTTTGATTTTGGAGTACGTAGGTCAAAGGTCATCGCTCATTAAATATGCAAATCTGGTTTCCATTCGATAACTTGAGTAATGTTTGATGAATTTGAATGAAATTTAATAGGAAGGTTCATGGTATCAAAATACATGTACAGTCTACATGTAAGTTCGATTTCTGAGCATGTGGGTCAAAGGTCATAGCTCATCAACTATGCAAAAACACCTAACAATATGTGAAAATGTGGTTAACTTCCTTACCTAGTAATATAATAGTATAGTCCAATGGAGGTACTAGTAACTTGTTCTGACGTACCTGTATACTGTAGGCCATTTGTACCCTGCGAGGGGATGCTATGCTTTGCGTTGACTTGTTAGTAATGTACTAGCAGGACCCGTGGAAAATCCACGGGATTCTAGGGGAGGGGGCCAAATAGATAGATAGAGGCCTATGTGCTATCCAAAAAAAATTTAGTTTATCTTTATATAGAGAATTTTTATAATATATGCTGTTTGACCATGAATGGCGCATCGTAAAACAAGCTATGTCAGATAGGATCTCGATAATTACTATTTATTTGCATTATTATTGTTGTGATTTCAATGTAGTTTCATGAAAAGACTACATATGCAGAGGCTTGGATTATGATTATGTTGGCATTGTTCACAAAATGTGTATAATTATTTTCAAAGTAAAGATTTTACGCGAAAAATCAGACGGTTTGTGCACAAATTGACTCGACTGTGTGTGGGACTGTGAGCGTAGAATCCAGTGAAAGATTTTTTTTTTCGGGGACTCGATCTATATCAAATTTTGGGAAAATTTTGGGGGGCTACTTTTTTCTTGGGCTAATTTTTCATTAATTCATTTAAAGATGCAGTTTGTTTAGTTTAGTAGCGTAGTGTTACGTCAAGTTTCTACGCCGAAAGTACGCAAATTTTGTTAAACATATTAAATTGTTTGCGTCCATCTTGCGTACTTTTTTGCGTCCCTGAGGGTATAGTAATGTAGGCCAGCGTACTCTCAGCTCAGCGTAGTTGGTACGCAACTCTACTATGGACCCCACGCCAATTAGTGATCGACCTGCCAGTGTCACAAATAAGGCATTAAAAATATGCTCATCTGACCGTAATTAAATGCCTAAAACCCCTGAGCTTTCGGGGGTTCAGCCCTTTGTACCTGTGGACACCACGCCTGCACTCAAATCGCTTTGAGTTACCTGACCCTCCCCCCCTTTTTTAAAATTGATTTGATGCAAGAACTGTATCATACTAAAAGTATTATCATGTTTTTAAACGACCATGACGACCGTCTGATTTTCTTGTGAAAACTTTACTTTGAAAAATGATTATCAAAATTCAGTATACAACTTTACATGGCTAGAATAATCACAATAATTTCAAAGTGTTGTTTAGACTCTCCTCACACCACGGACAGACCTGGCTACTCCGGTCACCGCTACTCCACGCTCACACACTCAGCTCCGACAGCACCCCCGACAGCAGCGCTCAGCTGCCGTGGCAATACACTGTGGACTCAAGGCAGTTTGCAACTGAACTGTCACGTGAAGGCGTACTATCACAGATCTATTTGCGCTATTCTTGTTGTGATTTCGATGTAGTTTTCATGAAAAGACCAATAAAACAGAAGCTTGGACTATGATTATGTTGGCATAGATCACAGAATTTGTATAATTATTTTCAGAGTAAAGATTTTACGTGAAAGTAGGTCCATGGTTTGCGCCAGTTGTCGCAATCGCCTCGACTCGAATCGACTGTGGTGTGTGCATGTGTGTGACCTGAGAGCGTGTAATACACGTACACTGTGGGCGCCTGGCCTACAAAGCATATCCTATAGAAAGACGCATAGCACGGGTAAGCTCAACCCGTTGAGGATACATATTGGCTACATCCCCTCACCCGGGTGAGTCGTCTGTTGATGTGTATTTCTCTTACATGCTACAAAGCGAACCCTATAGCAAGAGGTCTTACTCGGGATACGCCGCAGCTTTTTCAATGAGACTTGCTACACCCGTTGACGCGAGTGGATTCTCGTCCATCGTGTGTCTCTTCGTCTCTCTTTGATAATTAGACAGAGGGCGGGTGCACGCCTTGCCGACTCGCTCTCGCGGGTTCGTCGCCTCCTCGCAATCCACGACGCCCGCCGTGCTCTCGTCCGCCCGTCCTCCCCGGCCGCCCCGAAACCGCGTTTAACGGCGTGGACGTCGATCGCGGGGTCGACGTGGCACGCGGGTTACGGGAGACAGACCTCGTGGAATTGTGCCGCCCTCCCCGCGCCACGGCGGAGGCGGGCGGGGTCGGGGAAAGACGTTTTTGAGGAACCGTTTTGTACCCGTTTGGACCCCCCGCGGCGATTTTGCGTATTAGTAATATAGATTACCTTCAAAACCATAATAAAATATTCAAATACATATTCCAACCACATGAGCAGTTTTAATTTGAAAGGATATTAGCTGGATTTCCTGTCTAAGGTCTTGAAAGCGACTACCGGTAGAAGACTAATTTCATTAACTTACAGTGATTACATGAAGACTTCCTGAAGTTAGGGGTAGTATGAACGAGCCTATCGACTTAGCTTGCCATCAGGAGCGAGACCTTTATTTAACCTTTACCAAACCAAGGTGCACCCTGTAAAAGACCCCTTGTATTCAAATCTTCCTTACAAATCCTAGTTTAGACAGCGTAAACCTGTAGAAGTCATGACAATGTCTCGGTGCTCGATTGGATATTGAGAAGAACATGATGTTCAACCGCATTGTGAGAACAGACTTGTCACAGTGAGATGACTCATTTATGTGTATGTGGCATTTATATAGCTAGATGCAGTCTGGAGAGACCCGTCATAAACATTCCTCCCTCGCTACATACAAACATGATATGGGCTGCAGTCTTTATGAGATACCAGTGTTACAAATAGATACATGTACAATTGTACATGCACCTATAGATGTGTTCAATTACATTATACATGAGATGTACAAAACAATGGCTAGTATTTGCATTATGTGCCTGTGCGGTACATATACTGTACATTTAAGTAAAGTTTGTAGACAAATAATGGTTATAATCTCATATCTTTGGAATATCACATGCTGTTTGGGTATTACCCGTATGTCCATAAATCTGCAGATATATTTCACATGATAACATAAAATATGTACATGACATGTAGGCCTATGTGCAGCTAAAAAATCGCCTGTAAAAGTTGTGTGCGCCCTTATATCTACAATGTATTTGTATAAATGGGTCACAAACCTCTATTCTGATATTTTAGGTCTGGGGAACTATTCATTTTTACACTTGTATACATGTATACATGTACTTGTAGCATTTTAATGTCCATGTACATTGCACGTTGGAAAATAGAGGGTGTCAGAATTAAAGCCTATAGCGGTATCTGAGTGTAATTTGTACAAATGAATGTTACTGACAAAGGATGCAGACAGCCGATTAATTTTATTTGATCAAGGGTAGTCTGCAAGCACAGACTGTAATAATTTGACACTATACTTCAAGTCCTAAAGCCTTGAGCAGAGCCTGGATATGCCAGTTTCTGGCTGTGCCAAACAGTCCAGAGCAGCTTATTGAAGTACAGAGCCTATTTGTAGGCTCATTTTGCAAACACTAATACACACCACGACTGACAAGGGTTTTTGCCTGCAAACTAGATTGAGGGCTACATCTACATCTCCCGCCCCCTTTCAGTGTCACCCACCTGTTACCGTCAGACTGTTATTACCATGGCAACCAATATTGATCTTTTGATTGACCTACTGTACATACATGTAAAATGTCTGTTCACAATACTACATTAATATTAGGACTACCGGTATAGAGCCATGCATGGTAGGCCAAGTACTCACATTTTGTTGGTATTTATTTGTAGAAATAAATGTACATGTACATGTACATGACCGTACATGTCATTGCGTACTTAGGGCGTGTTCATGCTTCACTTTTTCTGGCCAGAATCAGGCATCTGTTACGCGTTTAGTTTAAAACACGGTTGCGTTCATGCTCACTTTTGTAGAATCACCGAAAAACGGCGATCACGATCGCCGATCGTAAACTCACAAAAAGATGCGTTTACAATTTGTAAACGCGTTTAAATGGGGTCAACGCACTGACCTCTAATGGGTTTATGTAGCATGCGCACACAGGTTTGCGAATCCAGCTGAAGGCCACCCAAGGAGAATTGCCTGGAGAAGTGAGCATGAACAGTGCACTGTGGAACTGCGATTACGATGAGCGTTTACGATGAGCGTTACAAATCGCTCATTCTGCCTTCAAAATCAAGCATGAACGCGCCCTTACATGTATACACACATGCATTTTATTTATTTCATATCGTTGGGCTACATGTGCATGGTTCAAGGCTTCAAGCAGTTGATATTAATCACTTATTCTGAAGTCAGCCATGCCCATAATATTTAGATGTGATTTTGGCATTGAAACAAAGAGCTATTGTTGGCATGTGAATGATCTCAACATTTTTTTCTTTTTTAGGAACAAGATAATTTGAAAAGAGCCCCTTTTGAATTTGTATGCGTTTCGAGGGTGATGATGCACAATTTTATGCCAAAATAACTGTATTTTCCTCGAAATGGTAAATTGTAAATTGGTAAATTGTAGTTGTCTACCAGTAGTTGATGTAATTAAGAAATAAATTTTTGTGTGGAACCTGTGCAAATCTGATCCACTCTTAATATAATTTATGAAAATTTCTGGTTTTACATTAATTGACACTTTTAAATAATGTTCTTTCTTTTTATTTTCTCATGGCCATAGGAGCTTGATGGGCAAGCAGGAGACCGCAAGTGGTTGGATGTGATAGAGTTGGACCTTGATAGGCAGTTCCCGTTCCACGAGATGTTTGCCAAGAAAGGAGGCAACGGGCAACAGGACCTCTATCGCATCCTCAAGGCATACAGCATCTACAACCCTCGCGATGGATACTGCCAGGGCCAGGCACCGGTGGCAGCCGTTCTGCTCATGCATATGCCTGCTGAGGTACGTAATCTTGTGTGAATGAATTTTGGAATTAAAGCTTGTCTGCACTAGTTTGGCCAGGGGGGATGAGACCTCCCTGCAAGGTCACTGGCAGGTGGTTATCTCATCAAATCAGCTCTCAATTAACATAAGAAAAAGGGGATCATTGGGGACCAACAGACGCCGATTAAGCATTGTTTGCTACATGTATATAAAGTAGCTATCAGTAGTGCAGTAGGGCTTTGTCCTTTGTCGCCTTTCTGTTGAAATCATGACATGTTTCTGTCTTGCCTATAGATGTAACTAGAGAAAAATTAACATTGTACATTTAGGCACAGCTTTTCTGACAGGAGCAGTGACATTATCAACATTTAAAAATCAATCTCCTTTGGGAGTGTCGTGGTCGGGTGGTTAAAGGCGCTTGACTGTAGATGCGAAGGTCAAGGGTTCGAATCCCGACACGGCACTAATATCCTTTTGGCAAGATATTAACCTGCACTTGCTACTCTCCACCCAGGTGTTACAATGGGTAGGAAGCGACCGTCATTGTTGGTCGAACAGTTTATGTCGTCAAGTAACGCCTGGCTGGAATGCTCCCCAGGGAGTGGAGATTGTGCACACATTGTGTGTGGGCAAGAACTGAATCCAATGACAGGGGTAATAGTATCTGTAAATCGCTTTATAAAGATGTGCGAGATGTATTAAGTGCTATATAAAAGCTGAATATTATTATTATTAAAAGCATTTCTCAAAATTTCATGAAACCTTTACATGAGGGTTAATTAATATCAGAAAATAATCTGGAACAAATTTCAGGTCAAATGTCTTTGTCGTTGATAAAAAGGTCAAATGAGGTTATGGAATGCAAGGGACAGGCCTGACCTGTACTTTAATTTCCCAGTGATATAAAAATAGAACATTTAATGTCCTTTTTCATGTATGAAAGAGAGGAAACTTTGAGGAAAATTACCTACTGTAGGCTCTGGGGACAGCTGGAATTTCCTCTAATATTGGGCTAGAAGGCAGAAAATGAAGCTTTGGCAGGAAGTTTGATAGGAAGGAGAAATACTTTGCAATTGGATGATGCACGAGGGGAAGGGGGAAGGGGGAGGGGGGGAGGGGGGAGGGGGCAATGAAGAGAGGAACATGAGGTGATAAGAGTCAGATGAGCCTGATTCTATCATCTCCAATGACGGATGCTCCCAGTATTTCTACTAGCTGCAGTGAAATCCCAGCATATTTGACGATGCACTTCATTGTAAAACGACGACTGGCCGGAATGCTCCCCAGGGAGTGGAGAATGTGCACACTGCATACATTGTGTGCGGATAAGCCTGAATCCGATGACCGAGTAATAAGTGTTAGGCGCATTATAAATGTGAGCTATTGTTATTATTTTATCATTATTGTTTCCTTTGATGAGATCATCATGATTTCCTTGAATCTTGTTATGAGCGACAGTATAGTATTAATGACTGCTTTGAGAGAAATAGTTGTTTTATTACGCTCAAGGGAAGGTTAGAATTGTGCTATTCCCCGAGGCTTGCCGAGGGGAATAGCCCAATTGTAACCTTCCCGAGAGCGTATGAAAACAACTATTTCTCGAATATTAAAGCAGTCATTAATACTTTTATATGCCGAAAAAAAATAGACTAAAAAATAAAAAATAAAAAATACTTTTTTTTTTTGTCGAAGGTGAGAGTCGAACTCTTGCGTACAATCAGTGATAAATCTTACACCAACGCCTTACACCACTCGGCCATCGCGCGCTGTTCACATGCTTGGCAGTTTTGTACAATATATACATTAAAATGGATTGAAACCGGCTTCGGCGTGATGAATGCTTCGCAAAAGCACCCTTCTTTTACTTTTGCAATGCATATTGGCACGAACTTAGATCAAGATCTATCGGCAGATGTTGTTTTTTTGTTTTTGTAAGTTTATTTTCGTCTTCATGTCAACAATGCAAGATAAAATTGTCGGTAAGATCGATCGAGATTCAATTGTATTGAAATTACCGACCAATCCTTCGCACACATACGGTATCCTCGATCGCTCAAACCATTTTTTAACATGTAAACCTATGGGGTAACCATGGAGGCTGACCTATTTTTTTAATAACCATGGTTATTAAAAATATTAAATGTTTTATGCATGGTTACCGGGAATTTTACAGGAACAATTGAAGTTTATGAATGCAATTTCGACCAATCAGATGGCTGGATTACTTAAGTGAGGTATATAACACACTATAGACATTTGCGGCGATACGGATTATGAATATTTCAAGGGAAACTGAGTCAATATTATGCACCTTTTTCATTGAAAGAAGTTATACATTCACGTACTTCCCTCGGGTGACGTACATTGTGCATGTTTACACTGTCTTACCGCTTGAATAAACCCAGTAATGATTCCAGAACATGTTTTGTGTTATGGAAATGTGCTTTTCACTACATGTCGTCTCCAAAAATTGAAATATTTCTATAAAGCTTTAGATACAAAAATTCTGCATCATTTTAAAATCTCGAAAGGGAGAAATATGTGGATGTTTTAAAGTAAAGATATATTTATTAGTTATTCATTTATAGTTTTATTCATACAGGGTAGCCTTTTCAGTTTACAAAGTATCTTTCTACAACAGCCTTGTATGCCTACATTAAGTACAATGTACATATCCAATATGTTTTGAGATAGAAATTACAGGCAAAATAATTACTAACTACCACATAATGATCTACATGTACATGTACATGTGTACAGTATGTGTGCTTTTTCCCTAAAATTGGTTTCTTCATTAAACCCAACACCTCCCCACAGGTAACAATATCCCATTCACTGAATCCTTCTTGATACCCAAAGAATATTCAACAGCTCTGCCAATTTTATGGAAATAGCCAATTAAATCCCCAAATGGCTGTAAGCGCCATTTCCATGGACTAATTCCAGTAAATCTTGTGTTATTTTTAGTCACTGTACTGACTCAAGAGTCTTGAAAGCATGTCTCTGCCGCATACATGTACAGTATGTACATGTAGATGATATAAGACAGATGAGATATTCAGTAGCAGTATACTCATTTGTGTATCTACACTGTATATGTTCCCCAAGAGGATTTACATCAGTGTGCAGCTTACAATCACTTAAAGATAAACTTGAGTTCTGGTCATGCGATCATATTGTGAAATAAACGGTGTGGAATCGATCAGAAAAGGTTGATCATCTACATGTACATGTAGCATATAATATTGGTGTGTACTGCAAGGTTCGGGAATCATCAAAATGATAAGAAATTTGGCCCAGTCTTGGTAAAGTTACAAGCACTGTCAGAGAAAGATGTATATGGGACTACACAAACATGTGGCATAAAATCTCTCCCGATTTTTATGATGTTACATGCCATATTTAGAATATTAAGGCATTTGAAGAGCCAAGCTTTTCAGGGAACATTTTTCATCTGATGTTCTTCCATACTTGCATAATAACAATGATAACGCTCCCAAATTAATTTTTACCTCTTTCTCAGAACTCAACCTTCTCTTTAAAGGTATTGTCAGGATTCAGTAATGATAAACAATATAGTTCTTAAAGAATCAAACCAAACTTATCCTGGATATTCAAGACTGAATATTCAAGGAGGCGCGATGGCTCAGTGGTAGAGCACTGGTTTCATAACCGGGATGTCCCGGGTTGTCAATGCGCTAGTGCCCTTTGGTAAGGCATTAAAGGGACTTTGTAACATTGTTCAGATGAGAGATAGTGGCGCTAAGGTAGTGACTTCAATGCTAGATGTACCATGAAAGATAATCTGAAAATTTGAGTGAAAACGGATCATTATTCATGGTACAAATTGGGAAAAACTGATCTGATCGATCCCTTAATTCTCCCAACTATATTATTCTACTTCTATTCTGCTACTTGTCAAAGCCTGTTCAGCATCAAGACAAGGACAATTTAATTACATTTTAAGTGAATGTAAATCGTCACAAAGCAATAAAATGGCTCTACATTCCATTCCAGACAGTTAAGTGTTGACAGATTTTTATAGCCTGTTTTATGTATTTTCTCATGGAAAAACAGTTGGGAAAATTCAAAAATGGTTGGGAGAAATTACTGTTAATCACTGTTAGAGGGTGCCTCACATCGACGCCTTCATAGAAAACCATAGATTTCTTTGTGGTTTGAGAATTTGTTCAGGATTTTTTGCATGTCAGAGGGTTAGTATAGTAGAAGGAATAAAGTAACATTTTATACAAAAATTAAGCAATTTTTTTCATCAACCTTCAACAATGTTACCGAGTCACTTTACCCTGTAACACCTAGTCCCTTGAAGAGGACTTTAAAGCCGTTGATTCACTGGTTGCTTACTTACAGCAGTCGGGTATTAAAAACAAATAAACATACAAACAAGACTGAAAACATATGTAAGTACATGTAATATCTACCTATAAACGATAGTGGTAGAAAAGGTATCATCGCTGAGTAATAAGCAAAGTGAGATAAGGATATTGAACAAATTAAAGTAATTCTGACCCACATCTGCAACACCTGGTATGATATGAATCGTACACTTGGTTGTGATTGTGATTTCCACTTTTAGTGGAAGTTTTAGCCTGTTCATATTTGGTGTTACAAACAATCCATTTACTCAATTTAAATTGTTATATAATGAATTTTATCAGTGATTTTTTAAATATATATTTTAGTTTTATTTCAGTGTTGCCACAGCTATCTTTGAGCTTTCCAGAACCAAATTCCTAATCAATCCTGGATTTCCTGTTCTTTTTCTTTTCAATTCTTTCTTTTCAATTTTTTTCTTCTTTTCCCTCGTCTTCTTCTATCTTTTCTTCTCTTTTCTTCTCCTCTCCTCTACTCTCCTCTCCTCTGCCCTCTCCTCTTATCTCCCCTCCTCTTATCTCCCCTCCTCTTTGCCCTCTCCTCTTCTGCCCTCTCCTCTTCTGCCCTCTCTCTCTCTTCTCCTCTCCTCTCCTCTCCTCTCCTCTCTCCTCTTTTCTCCTCTC